AGGGTGACAAAGTAAACTTTGTCTCAAAAAAAAAAAAAAAAACGTTAAGACATTCAGTTAAGAGATCACACTACCGCACTCCAGCCTGGGTAATGGATTGGGTCTCAATCTCAACTACCCAGGCTGGAATACAGTGGTGCAATCATAGCTCGTTGCAGCCTTGAATTCCTCAGCTCAAGAAATCCTCCTACCTTAGACTCCTGAATAACTTGGAATAAAGTTACACTTAACCATTGCACCTGGCTAATTTTTAATTTAGGGATGGAGTCTTGCTATACTGTCCAGGCTAGTGAACTCCAGGGCTCAAGTGATCCACCTAGCCTGGCCTCCCAAAGTGATGGAATTACAAGTATAAGCCACTCTGCCTGATTCCCTTCTGATAATTTTTTAGGTGACCAGTTTCCTTCTTGAATCACTGAATATTTCTTGGGTGATTCTTCTTTGTCCTTTTTCCTTGATTTTCTAGTGTTATAAATTGATTGCCTCTTGACTATAGCTCACTTCATGCTAACCCTTTAAAATATTTTTTATGTTGCATATGGCTCTGACTGTAGCTTAAATAAAAGATTGGTATAAAAAAAATTCAGAACAAATGGCATAAGACCACACAAATATATTGAAATACTACTAGTCCTCAAAGAAGAAAAATGATTCTAGACCATCAGGACAAAAAAGGAATAATTATAAAATTAACAATCAATTCTGTTTCAGTAAAACCTCCAAACCAGTTTTCTTATAGGCTTTACCAATTGCCTGGATAGTGAAAGCACATGTGCACCAGGTCATCATGGGGATTCGAGGATCTGTTTCATCAGGAGGCACTTTCAGTCCAATTCTATAAATTGTTGTGGCAAAGAGAATGACCATTTCCTTGATACTATTAGAATATTTAATCCTAAAAATAAAAAAAAAAGAAAAATTATACGATGACCTTGTAAAAGGGGCTTATTGAGAATTCCAGTTAGATATGAAAGCAAGAGAAACACTTTAACTATTTCTGTTACAAGTAAAATGCTCTTTGACAAATTAGAGATTCTCTGAAGATTTATTCAGTAAGAAAAAATGGAAAAAGCAGGGGCGGTGCTTGTGGCTCAGTGAGTAGGGTGCCAGCCCCATATACCTAGGGTGGTGAGTTCAAACCTGGCCCCAGCCAAACTGCAACAACAACAACAACAAAAAGTGGAAAAAGCAGAACTGTATTTCCTAAAAGCAGAAAAATACCTCTTACAAAACAGAAGTAATCCAAATAACTTCACTTCCTATAAAAAATGCAGTGAATGATCAAGCTGGAAGGGTTCAGATCCAAACTGAAGGACAGACTGGACAGAGAAGGAACAAGTTTTAGTGTCTGGAAAAGGGACCAAGAAGTACTTCTATGTTGACAGGATTGTGTGTGTATCTGTGTTTATGTTCTGTGTATGGAGTGATAATTCTGGTTTTCTAAACTTCCATTTGTAACAAGTATTTTTAGTAGCAATGAGATGTATAACACAAACAAGGATTACAAATAGAAAAAGTACCCTAGGTAGTTTGTATTCATGAAATGCTGGCACCTACTCTGGGTAATTATATTTTCAAAGTGTTTTCATATAAATATCTCTCCAATAACTTTATGAGGTAGAAGGCCATTGCCTAACTTTTTAAAAAAAGTGAACTACAAGTGGAGTGGAGTGACCTGAGACTTTTTAGACTGTTACAGAACAAGTTAGATGTGATTTTAAATGAAGTCCCTTAAATTATGGAGGTTGGACCAAATACTATATAGAACTGGCATTTTTGTTGGTCAAAAATGTTTACTCAGAGGCATAGTTCATTCTAATATATATTACTTTCATATTTCAGACCTCTTAATTTTACTAATGCAAACAAAAGAATCGAGAAAGAAACAAGGTAAGAATGGGATAAAGAAACAATTTTTACAAATAAAGAAGGAAGAAAAGAAGGAAGGATTGGTTTCTACTCTTATTTTCAGAACAGTTTACAAACTTCTCTTAACTCTTTAAATACTTACGAAGACTGAACTCCAAAATTCAGGATGGAATGGAACTCAAAAGTAGAATCTCCCATTCCTTGATTAAATAAGACAGGAATTGTTGAGTTTTCTCCTTATAAATTAAAATGAAAAAGAAAGAAAAATCATGAATGGGGTTAGTCTGACATAAGCTTTTCTAGCTTTTAAAAATTGTTATTTGATTATTTTAGAAAGCTTAGAATATGCTAACGGCAATAAACAATCAACTGAAATTTCTCCATCCAGATAATCACAGACAACACCTGGGTAATATTCTTCTGATCTCCATATAAATATTACATACACAGATTTTTAAAAAAATATAGTACTCTTGTACATCTGCTTTTTTCACATAATAAATTATAAATATCTTTCCACATCAGTAATTCTTGCTCTATTTTTTTTTTCTTGCTCTATATTTTTTTTTTGAGTCAGTCTCACTATGTCACTATGTCACCCTCAGTAGAGTGCCATGGCATCACAATTCACAGCAACCTTAAACTCTTGGGCTTAAAGCAATTCTCTTGCCTCAGCCTCCTAAGTAGCTGGGACTACAGGCGCCTGCCACAATGCCTGGCTATTTTTTGTTGCAGTTGTCGTTGTTGCCTAGGTGGCCAAGGCCAGGTTCGAACTCACCAGTCTCAGTGTATGTGGCTGGTGCCATAACAACTGTGCTATGGGTGCTGAGCCTATTTTTTCATTTTTAACGACTGTATAAGTATGGTTTCAGTAAGGAAGCAAATATTAGTGAATAATAGTTGATTAGAATCTAAAGCCAAGCTACTTGGATTTGAATACTAGGCTCTGCCACTTACTAAGACCTTGTCTGGTTGGGCACAGTGGCTTACACCTGAAATCCGAGCACTCTAGGAGTACCAGGGTGGGAGGATTGCTTGAGTTGAGGAGTTGAGACTAGCCTGAGCAAGAGTGAGACCTATCTTTATTAAAAATAGAAAAATTACCTGGGTATCATGCTGTAGGCCTACTGGCCAGCTACTTGAGGTGCAGGAGGATTCCTTGATCCCAGGAGTCTGAAGTTGCAGTCAGCTATGACAATGCCCCTACACTCTAGCTGAGGTAATAGAGTTGAGACTTTGTATCTACAAAAACAAAATGGAGCCCACTTCCCTAAAAAAAACCCTTGTCCAAGAACCAAACCTTTCGGTGGCTCCATTTTCTTATGAAATTGGAATGTCATTTCCTTTGGAATGGGTTATTTTTCAAGATATTTTTCTGGATCTTTTGTTTTCAGTGGTATGGTTATCCATTTAAGGTTCACTAAACTTCTTAAGTCTATACATTTGTCTTCTACCAAATTTGGGGAGATTTCAGCCAAATATTCTTCAAATATTGTTTTCTGCACCATCTTTTTTCCTTTCTTTTTTGGTATTTCAATGACACAAATGTTAGATTAAATAAAAGATTGTCCCATATGTTCCTAAGGCTATGTTCTTTTTTTTTCTCCATCTCTTTTCTGTCCTTCAGATTAATTTCCATTGATCTAATTTCAAATTTACTGACACTTTCTAATCTCCAGTCTACTACTGAGGCTATACAGTTTTTTATTTCATACAGTATTTTTTCATTGCTATTATCTCCATTATGTGTGCAGTTTTTTTTTTTTTAGTTTCTATTTTTTTGTTAACTTCTATCTTTCCACTTATTTCAAGAATGTTCACCTTCCTTAAACTTATATTTCATGGTTATATAGCCGCTTTAAAATTTCTGATTGTTAAGTTTAAAATTTAAAACACTTCTGGACTGGCATTTGTTTTTCCCCTGAGAGTTGGTCAAATTTTTCTGGTTCCATTCAAGTAATTCTGGCTTGTATCATGGATACCTGGCATACTATGTTGGGAGCTCCTATTAACATCTTCTGGAAAAATGTCCATTTTAAACAATGTTTTAATAGGTAATCAACTCATTTAGGTTTAACAAATCTTGTTTCATCTTCAGTGGATGGTGGCTCCAATGTCAGTTTTCAGAGCTTTGTTATGCTGTATGGCTCTGCCCAGCAAACATGCTACTTAGTAGGTCAGTTGAGACTTGAGTGGTGATTTATTTTTTTAGAGATCAGGTCTGGTTTTATTGCCCAGACTGAAGGGCAATGGCTATTCATAGGCATGATCATAGTGCACTGCAGTCTTGAACTCCAGCCTCAAGTGATCCCCCCTCCTCACCCTCCTAAGTAGCTGGGACTACAGATATGCACCACTGCACCTGGCTTGCTTGATGATATAAATGCAGGTTAATTCTCAAAGCCTTTGCTATGCTTCTTTGTGCCCATTCTTCCCATGTGCAGTTTGGTGGTAATCTCAGGACTTGTGTTGGTCTCAAAATTAGGAGATTCCTTTCTATAGCTCTCTCCCAGAAAGGAATCTATAGCTCTCTCCTTTCTGGGATTTTCCGCAACTCTCTAGCTCCAAAGGGCTCTTTCCCCAGTTTTTCTGGCCAAAATAACAATTTCTCTGTTTTAGTCTCCTAAGCTGTTGGTCAGATCTCTGTGACTGAGATCTTGGATTTTGTGTTATTTACGTCTGTTGCACAGTTCTGTGACTCAGGCTTTCCTTGGGTTGAAGTTAGGAAATGAAGGAGGAAAAAAGCTCCAGAGAAACTCATTGCCCATACTATTGTTTAAATATTAACTTTATCCCCAATTTGCTTGCTACTGGTTACTTTTTCAGAGACTTTAGATTTTAAAAAATCTGTGGAAGTATGTTTATTAGAAATTTATTGGGATTTTATGAAATGTCTTTTAAGAAAGCTATTATAATGGCTATATCAGTTTTTTCCTTAAACATACTAACGTAAGACATTTCTATCATTGCCCTCTTAGAATAAAAACAATCTGAGCATTGTCCTTTTTGTGCTATGTATTGTCTTCTAAGCATGGTTTTGGTCATATTCCATGGATTTTGATCTGTGTTGTTCTTGTTAATTTCTAAACAGTCAGTGATTTCTCTTTTTCTAGTTTTTTCCTCATATTTAAGAGTTACATAAAAGAAATTTTAAATTCTTAACTTATTATGTTTGGGGCTTTTTATTAAGTTCTAGTTTTATTATACTGTAGATAGTGTAAATGTCCTACATAAGTTTGATTTTTGAAAATTACTGAGATTTTTATATGGCCTCATTGATTAACCAATCTCTGCTTATAACCCATGGACATTTTGATAAAAGTATCCTCTTTAGAGAGAACAAAGCTCTATAAAAATAATATTAAAATTCAAGCATAATTTAAAACATTCTCTAAGCCATTATTTTAGGACAACTTTTTATTTTTTTTTTATTTTAGGACAACTCGAGCAGCTATAATCTTAGAATGATCTTGTAAAAATCTCCCATTTTGACTGTGCTTTTGTTAAATTTTCCTTAGGCACCAAAGAACACAGCATGAAAATAAACAGAAACTAAATTATCTCTTCTGTTTTTCCTTCTAAAATGGAAATAAAGATAAAATGATTATACTTTCTTTGCAATTCCTCTTTCACAATCTCTTGGCTCTGCCTCTTTCCCCTAACAAGCCATTCAGTAAGTATTCAGAGAAAACACATTAATGCGTACTCTCACTATCTCTCAGCATCTTATTGTAGGACCAGGCAAATATAATTGATCTTCTTGAGTTACCTCCCTCCTCCTACCCATCTGATGCACAATTACATTAAAGACCTATCCTAATAAATATTAGGTTCTTGCTTAAAAATTATAATCATTCCATGATTTCTTTCCTTTTTTTTTTTTTGGACAGAGTCATATTCAGTTGCCTTGACTAAAGTGTTGTGGCCTTAACCTAGCTCACAGCATGCTCAGACTCCTGGGCTCAAGAGATCCTCCTGCTTGAGTCTCCCAAGTAGCTGGGATTATAGGTGCCAACCACAATACCTGGCTAGTTTTTCTCTTTTTAGTAGAGATACTTAGGACACTCTCGAACTCCCAAGCTGAAGCAATCCACCCACCTTGGCCTCCCAGAGTGGTAGGGTTACAGCTGTGAGCCACCGCGCCTAGTCACAGTTTTTCTTTAAATTATGTTCAGTATTTTTCTTCTTTGAAAAATATAGACTTCTAAATAAATTAGTAAGTATGCATAAAAGATACTAATCACTCTTACACTTCTTATTCTTCTTTAGCCACTGAGGTCCTCCTAATAGTAAGTGACCTTTCCACTTAAAGCTGTGTTTTAGACTTCTAATTAAACCATTTGAAGGCAAAATGACTTTTAAAAAAACCTGAGTTAAGGCTGAATTTTTGAGACCCAACAATCAGGATATAAAATCAAGATGCTAATCTATAATATTTAAATTTTAAAGAAACTAAATTCTCTTATGTCAAAGTCATTTTATATTGTTAAGTAAGAAGAAACCCATATACTGAATTCTCAGAGCTTAAAACAAAGGTCAAAGTGATAGGTACATGCTAAAAAAAAAAAAATCACTTCTTTTGCTAGAGAAGTTATTCACCAAACATACTGTTGCTCCATGAGTATTACGTGTCAAAAATATTTTGCTATTAAAACAAAGGAGAAAGGGAAATCGGTAGGACATTGCCAAACTTACTCACTGCTATCATCTTCCATCATTCTGTGTTTCTAAATGACAAAGTCCAAAATTTTATTCACAGGCCTCAATAACTGTCCCATACTCTTCCTTATTCCCACTGTGTCTCCTTGACTCAGGTAGGCCAGGTTTTTCAGTGTCTCTGAAGATGCAGTGCTCATACTTCCCTAAAAATGGTTTCTCTTTTTTTTACTAAATGCTCTTCATATTCCTGCTACACATCCAGATCTGGTCCAAAGTCATATCAAATCCCACTTTCTCCATGTCATTCTCCCTTACTACTTCAGCCTCTACTGATTACTTCTTAAACATCCTATGAATCCTATTGTTTTGTTCTATAAAATCTGGTTATTGATGCCATTTTCTCTTGTATCATTTTCTTAACTGGGTAAGTTTAGAAACATAAAGCCTTGCACAGTGCTTGAGAGTTAAACACTTAAATACTTGGCAACTTAGACTGACTATGGTGATGAGAAATAAAACCATCATCCCCATTTTTCTGTCACTGTCCCTAAAAACATATAACTGGGAGGACATAATAATTAGAGCATAACGGAAGGTGAAATAATCAGGGAAAATACAGAAGATACGGATGGTAAAAACAAGACATAAATATTTTGAACAGAATATCTAGAAATGCTCCAGAATATTCTGGAATAAAATGTTTCCAGGTATAGCTTTCATCAATTTTAGATCCAAAGAAGGAATGAGAGAATAATTTTTTAAATACTAGATTTTGCCTTCTTCATCCTATTGATTCATAGCCTGAAAAAAAAAATTTTTCTTCATTGAATTTTTTTTTTTTTTTTTTTGAGACAGAGTCTCACTATGTTGCCCTTGGTAGAGTGCCGTAGTGTCACAGCTCACAGCAAACTCCAAACTCTTGGGCTTAAGTCATTCTCTTGCTTCAGCCTCCCAAGGAGTTGGGACTACAGGTGCCCCCCCCCACAATGCCCCGCTTATTTTTAGAAATGGTGTCTCACTCTTGCTCACTCTGGTCTTGAACCTGTGAGCTTAGGCAATCCACCTGCCTCGGCCTCCCAGAATGCTAGGATTACAGGCATGAGCCACCATGCATGGCCACAGGATCTAAGATTTAAATCTAAGCAGTCTACCACCTTGAAGCAATCGACAGACAAATTGGATAGACAGATTAATCACTGTATATGTTGCCTCCTAGTATAAAAAATTATTAAATTGCATAAAGTGGTTTAAGCCCAACTTAGTCTGAACTTCAAAAATCTCTATTTCCTGATATTCAATAAATCTGTTCTTAAAAGCCATACTTTAGCATACTAATTACCTTAAAAAAAAGATTCTGACATTTTTTCACACAACTATTATAAAATAAATTTAAGCAAACCTTTAGCATGTCTTATATTATAACCCGATATTCTGGCCAGAACAGTCTGTATCCATCGTGCCAGGGGCAAAAGTTGAGCCAGAGCTTCTGCATTCTCACTGAAAAATGATATTTAAAAATTATTAAAGCCATTGGTACAAAGTCAAACTGTAAAGCTGAACTTGCCGAATCTTTCTTTGGATAAACGGTTGTTTTAAAAAAGTCAAATTCCTCCAGATTAAGGTCCTAGATCCTAGAAACATGTGTCTAAAAATGTAGTTCTTGGGAAGTGGAAGGGAATTTTATTTTTTGTAATTTATTAAGTATTTATTGAAATAAGACAAAAACTTCAATAACTACAAACAGAAAAGTAGAATATCATATTAAAATATATTATGTATTTCATTCTATTTTTCTTCCCAATTTTCTTTTCTTTTCTTTTTTTTTAGAGACAGAGTCTCATTTTATCACCCTGGGTAGAGTGCCATGGTGTCACAGCTCACAGCAACCTCCCACTCCTGGGCTTAGGTGATTCTCTTGCCTCAGCCTCCTGAGTAGCTGGGACTACAGGTGCCCATCACAACACCCGGCTATTTTTTGTTGCAGTTTGGCCAGGGGTGGGTTTTAACCTGCCACCTTAGGTATATGCGGCTGGCGCCCTACCAACTGAGCCACAGGTGCCACCCTTTCTTCCCAATTTCCATTTGCTAAAAATGATATGGGCACATGTGGAAATCTAGACACCATAAAAGGAATACTGAGCAGAACTCCTCTTCTTAACAAAGGATATGCTTTAGTTTTATGCTGTACTTTCTTTTTCATCTCTAGCTGACTGTATATGCCAAGTTAATGTCCATTGTCGGTGTGTTGTGCATGCCCTCTAGAAAGCACTAGGGAAGCAATGAGAAAAACAGGTAAAGTCTCTGCCATCATGGAACTTAACAATCATTCTGGAGGCTGAGAAATCCAAAATCAACGTACCAGTAGATTTAGTGCCTGGTGAGGACCAGCTTTCTGGTTCATATGTAGTACTTTCTAGCTGGGTCCTCAAAAGGTGGAAGAATGGAAGGGAATTTTAAAAGTAATAAAATGGTTGGGTATAGTAGCTCATGCCTATAATCCCAGCACTTTTGAGACATGGAGGCAGGAGGATTGCTAGTGGCAAGGAGTATAAGACCAGCCTGGACAATTGAGACTGTCTCAACAAGGAAGAAAAGAAAAAAAAAAAAGATAGAAAGAATAAGACATCACTCATCATCCAGAAGTAAGTGTCACTAAGTGGAATCACCATTCCAGTTGCTCTCTGATGGACATCTCTGATTGCCTCACACCCAACATTCTAATGTACTAGCTAGTCTTACAAGTTTTACCTTTTAAATATATATCAAATTGATCACTTCTTTCTACCTTTAACACTACTATCTTAGTCCAAGTCACATCATCTCTCCCCTGGATTATGACCTCAATAATAAAGAGTAGTCTTATTTCTACTCCTGTGTTTCACTAAGTTGAATTCACCATACAACAGCTAGAAGGATCTTCTAAAATGTAAATTGGACCATTATCACCCCCCTGTTCAAAATACTTCAGTGGTTTTTCATCACACATAAAAAAAAAATTCTAACTTTTTTTTTAAGAGATGTCCCACTCTGTTGCCCAGGCTACAGTGCAGTAGCATTGTCATAGCTCATTGCAGCCTCAAACTTCTGGGTTCAAGGGATCCTCCTGCCTCAGCCTCCCAAGGGGATGGGGCTATAGGTATGTACCACCATGCCAGGCTGATTTTTCTTTCTTTCTTTCTTTCTTTTTTTGTGGAGATAGAGGTCTCGCTCTGTTGCTTAGACGAGTTTTGAGATCCTAGCCTCAAGTGCCATTTGGTGTGGCCTAAAAATTTGAATTTCTGGCTCGGCGCCTATAGCTCAACCCGCTAAGGCGCCAGCCACGTACACCTAAGGTGGCAGGTTCGAATCCCCAGCCCGGACCTGCCAAACAACAATGACGGCTGCAACCAAAAAATAGCCGGGCGTTGTGGCGGGCGCCTGTGGTCCCAGCTACTTGGGAGGCTGAGGCAGGAGACTCGCTTGAGCCCAGGAGTTGGAGGTTGCTGTGAGCTGTAATGCCATAGCACTCTACCCAGGGGGACAGCTTGAGGCTCTGTCTCAAAAAAAAAAAAAAATTTGAATTTCTAATTTCAGTTCGTAAGTCCTTTTGTGGTCTGGTCTTTGCTTGTTTCGTTCTAGTCATGCTGCCTTCTTGCCGTGCCTCAAACAAGTTGACTAGGTTCCTAACTTTGGGCCTTTGCTTTTGATATTGCCTGTGGTTAGAAATCTTTTCTCCCAGAGAGGTGAGTAGCACTATGCTCAGCCAACCACTTTTCTTTAAAACTACTAGCTTGAGGGCAGGAGCAGGGGCTCATGCATGTAATCCCAACACTTTGGGAGGCCAAAGTGGGAGGAGCACTTGAGGCTAAGAGTCTAAGACTAGACTGGGGGACGTAGTGAGACACTGCCTCTACAGAAAATAGAAAATTAGGCCAGTGTGACAATGTGTGTCTATAGTCCAGCTACCCTGGACTATACGGTAGGACTATAGGAGGCTGACATGCAAGGTTCATTTGAACTCTGGACTTCAAGGTTACAGTAAGCTCTGATCATACTATTATATTCCACACCAGCAGACACAATGAGATCCTGTCTCAAAAAACCAAAACAAATCAAAACAAAAAGCAAACAAAAAAACTTGCTTGTTCCAATATGGTAGAGATAACAATTTCCAAATTAGGTTTCCCCATGACATAGAATAGTAGAGATGGAGCAACTATTTATTGACCCTGCTTGCCAAACTTAACCCCTTTGAACTCTTATGTCATGAAGACATGTTAAAGGTGTTTTTATTTAAAAAACTATTTTCTTTAGCAGAACTTAGATTATCCTTACAAAGTCACTGAGTTTTAAACTGGAAATAATAACAATATGAATAATACTGTTATTACCACGTAGAATAATGAACATATAGAAACATAAAAATAGGTGTCCAGGTTGTCATTAAAAACAATGAATTTGCTGTTCGATTCCATTGATAGATGATCAAATATAAAAATTTAAAAACTCTGAATACTCAAATACTATCCAAAGATACACAATAAATCTAGCATTTTATTTGCGTTTTGTTTTTTTTTTTTTTTTTTTGAGACAGAGCCTTAAGC